TTGGTAACTCACTGCACCTGGTGGCAAGAGCCGTTAAGGGATATAAGGTCAGCATTTCCCTTCAGCTCTTTGCCACAGCAACACGTTCCCTGCCTTGCTGCGTTTGGCTCCTTGCTTCCTGATCCTCGGACCTCGGCTCCTTGACTCCTTGCTTCTCGACCCTTGGACCCTTGACTTCGTGACTCCCTGCTTCCTGACCCTCGGACCCCTGGCTTCTGGACTCTCGTTCCTGCTGCCATCTGCCCCTGGTCCTGACATCCTCAGCTGGGACTTCAATTGCCCGTAGTCTGGACTGTGACAAAAGGAAGCTGCCATCAGGTTTGAGCACACAAATCGGGTCACAAATTTCAACATTTCCAGAATGGGAAAATGTGGGTGCTGAACATGGTTGCTCCCACTTCTTAACCGACCTTGTTCCTGTACCGCTGACCAGTGGCACACCTCGGGGGTCTCAAATTTCAGTGGGACACCTAAAACTAGCCACCCCCTGCCTCTCGTCTTCCATTCTACATCATAGTTGTGATGCCCCACCTTTCGCGCCCCTGAGGCTCTGCACCCAGTGCGACCAAACCGGCCCCCACTCCCCTGAATTTGGCCTCTGCTTTCACAGTAGCCTGATGCCCAGAAATGAAGAAGGGGGCGATTTTCCTAGCATGGGAATAGGGGGTTTTTATAAAACACAGTCATCACATGCATTTATTTGTGCCTTGAGGCTGCAGTTAAGGCGTTGGAGCGAGACTGGTTTTTGTTAATTATTTTTAAAAGGTGCACAGACCTAACCCAGGGAAGTGGGTTTTGGCATGTAAACGTGAAAACCAGATAGTATTTGCTACGGCTTCCCAATTCCTTTTCTGTTCTTGTTGTTCTTTCCTCACAAGCCTCGTCTCCTCAGCAACTTTTGACTGGGTCATTGTCTCCCGGTTCATTCCATCGGAGTAATTAATTCTAAAGCGAGTGACAAACACGCACTGCCTGTTCTCTCAGTCGGCATGTGCTTTCCCCAGTGTCACTAGAGACTCCCCCTCCCAAACCAGCTGCTCCTTCTCTCCCACCCCCCACCAGCCCAGCCGTGATTCACTTGAGTTCTCATTAACCAGTCTTCTTCATAGTTAGCAGAGAGTCTGCAGGTTTGCCCACCCACCCACTGTCCCGGGAGTGCGTGGGCAGAGCTGGGCACCTCAGAAGAAAAACATTTCCTCCGAATATTTCCACAGCAGCCTTTCGTGGGGGCTCCAGATTGGAGCGTGCGCCGCCCACACAACTAATGGTCTAACTGCATCAGTGGGTTTAGCAAGGTCAGCACCTACTTGGGTGGGAATTCAAATGTAAGCACAGGCCTTGGTGCCTGGCAACTGTGAGGTAAATTATTAAGAGTATACCCTCTGCTGCCTTGGCCCTTCCCCAACCCAGGGAGAATGTCTGTGCCAGCTGATACTTTTTTTTTTAAAAAAAAATAACTTTATTGAATAATACAATTAAATTTCCAGACATATCTGCCAAAACACAATCATGTTACATATTTGCCAACATAAACTGTAGAAGAAAATAAAAAGTAAGAAGAAATGAAAAAAGAAGAAAGAAAAAGAAAAAAGAAGAGGAAAAGAAAGAAAATGCTGTTTTCCACAAACAGTAATTCCAGAATTACACTAACACATGTTATAAAATACAAATCTTGATTAAAATATCTTTAAAAGACTTCACCACCTAAACCACACTTTCTTTTGGTGTGGCAGTAGAGCAATAAGAACGGCAATGGGGCATTTGAGCAGTAAGCGCCACCGCACCCTACCCACCCCCTGGGACACAACACTGCTGCCTATGTTGGTTAGCCTGGTCCCCAGCCCTGCCAGTGAGCCTCTGACGTTGGATGTTGCCAGTTAAGCCAAGCAGACTTATAGCAGCAGTAGTTAGGGATGTTGGGTAATTCATACACATACTTTCACATGTATTTGCAGTAACTTTTGGAGAAAGGGCCATTATATTATTATATTATTTATTATTATTTATTTCTATACTGCCCTTCGTCTGAGAATCACTTGTGGTTTTACAATATAAGTGGAAGCTGAATTCTGAGTCTGTGGCCACATCCCTGCACTTTTCATGTGCTGCGTCAGAATTGTAGCAGCTCCGATTCTTACCTCTGTATCGCAGGCGAGGGTGTCAAAAGAAATTTTGCAGACAGTCCTCATAAACCATTTTTGCTCTGTCCCAATGAATGAATGGATGAATCCTTATTTGCGTCAGCCATCGGCCATAGCAATAAAACAACAACAATACGATGTAGAAACAATAGAATAAAAAGTCAATTCCATAAATACATTTTTGGGTTTGAAGCAATAGTCAATAGTGGATCGCTTCTTGGCCTTTTGGCTAAGATCAAGTGTAGTATCTGCTCTGTCTTAATGTGCACTCTGCTTCGATAGGTATGGGGTTTTTGCTTTTTGTTTTGGTTGGGGAGAAAGAGGGGTGAGAGTCGGTAACTTGAATGCTAAAACTGTCCCCTTGCAGCACACACGTTGTGCTCTCTGGTAAAGGCCTCCTGTGCCCCACCCCTCCTGTTTAATTTGGACTCCAGTACTGGAACATAAGGGATGCGGGTGGCGCTGTGGGTTAAACCACAGAGCATAGGACTTGCCGATCATAGGTCGCGATTCGAATCCCCACGATGGGTGAGCTCCCGTTGCTCAGTTCCCTGCTCCTGGCCAACCTAGCAGTTTCAGAAAGCACAATCAAATTGCAAATAGATAAATAGGTACTGCTCTGGCGGGAAGGTAAACGGCGTTTCCGTGCGCTGCTCTGGTTCGCCAAAGCAGCTTAGTCATGCTGGCCGCATGAACCCGGAAGCTGTAACCGGCTCCCTCGGCCAATAAAGCAAGATGAGCACCGCAACCCAGAGTCAGCCACGACTGGGACCTAATGGTCAGGGGTCCCGTTACCTTTACCTTTTTACTGGAACATAAGTCGCATTGTGATTTGCCCGCAGGTCATGGAGAATGCGTCTGTGGCGACTGCGCGTTGCGACCCTGACTGGACGGGAGCCTACTGCAACTGCACCACCCGGACTGACACCTGTATGTCTAGCAACGGGCTGGTATGCAGCGGACAAGGCCGCGGCTACTGTGCCTGGTGGGAAATGCGTCTGCACCCAGCCTGGCTGCTTACGGAGATACCTGTGAGAAGTGCCCAACCTGCCCTGATGCCTGCACTATCAAGAAGTGAGCAAGAGGGAGCTGTGATTGTGTGTGTTGGTGTGTGTGTGTGTTGGGCGCCAGTTGTCTGTCGTTCTCAAAGCAACACAAAATCATTAAAGTAAACATCAATAGCAGGAGGAAACCTGCTACAGACATGTAGAATATTAGGATGCAAGGTTGCATTATTAAGCTCTGATGATGATGATGATGATGATGATAAATAAATAAATAAATAAATAATTTTTATTATTTATCCCCGCCCACCTGGTTGGGTTTCCTCAGCCACTCTGGGCGGCTCCCAACCGAATATTAAAAACACAATACAGCATTAAACGTTTAAAACTTCCCTGCAGTGGTACCTTGGGTTACAGAACACTTCAGGTTACAAACGCTTCAGGTTACAGACTCCGCTAACCCAGAAATAGTACCTCGGGTTAAGAACTTGCTTCAGGATGAGAACAGAAATCGTGTGGCGGTGATGCTGCGGCAGCAGGAAAGCACCATTAGCTAAAGTGGTGCTTCAGGTTAAGAACAGTTACAGGTTAAGAACGGACCTCCAGAACGAATTAAGTTCTTAACCCGAGGTACCACTTATTTGCTATGCCGCTCAATTTGAACGGGCCTTCGCTGGAACAGCAAAAGTACAAGTTTCAGGAAGACCAAAATTCTAATAAGGAATGGGGAAAATTTATAACTTAAAGGCCATTGTAAACAGTTAAATTTGTTAGTAGGATTGGAACAGCAACTTGTAGTTTAAGGTTGATGCTGGACATAATGGGAAGAGGTTAAAGGGTTTGGATTATCATAAAAGATGAGGGAGGAACTGATTAATAATAGGACCCACATAGGGGAGGACGGAAGTCCAGGAGATTCATTGGAATCTTGTTTTTTTATGATTTCTGTTTGATACATCTCTGTAAAATTTTAAGTTGAAAAAATCAAATAAATTAACTTTAAAAACAACAACAAAAAGTACAGTCATACCCTGGAAGTCAAACAGCTTAGTTCTCGAATGTTTTGGCTCCCGAACGCCGCAAACCTGAAGTGAGTGTTCCAGTTTTCAAACATTCTTTTGGAAGCTGAACGTCTGACGGGGCTTCCACAGCTTCCAATTGGCTGCAGGAGCTGTGCTTTGGTTTCTGAACTTTTTGGAAGTCAAATGGACTTCCGGAACAGATTCTGTTCAACTTCCAAGTTTGAAAAGTTGACCAAAAAAAGAAGGGAGCAAGGGGCATGTAAAAGCTTTAATCAACCCTTCGTTCTTACTCACTCATCCTGAGATTTCATTCCTTCTCATGAATACCCTGAGAAGCAGCCTAAAGCCCTGAAATATTATTCATAATTACTATT